AGACTCCGTCTCAAAAAAAAAAAAAAAAAAAAAAATTAGCCAGTGTGGTGGTGGTGCAAAAAAAAAAAAAAAAAAAAAAGGTCGAGGCTGGAGGATCACTAAAAAAAAAAAAAAAAAAAAACTGCACAGGCTGCAGTGAGTTGAAAAAAAAAAAAAAAAAAAAAGCTTGGGTGACAGAGCAAGACCAAAAAAAAAAAAAAAAAAAAAAACAAAAAATTGCCTGAGTGTCAAAAAAAAAAAAAAAAAAAAACTCTTGAGCTTGCAGAAGCGGCTGTGAGTGGCGTCTGTGCCTGCTTGAGAGTAGATGTTGGTACCAAAAAAAAAAAAAAAAAAAAAACTTGTGCTTATTCGTGCAGATAAAAAAAAAAAAAAAAAAAAAGGGAAGGACCTGAGCCCCAGCCAAAAAAAAAAAAAAAAAAAAAGCTCCTGGCAGCTCCCTCCCCAAAAAAAAAAAAAAAAAAAAAAGGGCTCCTGGCCTCCTCCTGCCAAAAAAAAAAAAAAAAAAAAATGCCCCTGACCTAGACAGTTTCAAAAAAAAAAAAAAAAAAAAACTTCTCTGCGTCCCTTGCAGAGAAAAAAAAAAAAAAAAAAAAACGTTCCTCAGCTGTGTGTCCAACTCACTGGGTGTGCTCACTCCTGCAGCTTCACCCAATACCTTCAAAAAAAAAAAAAAAAAAAAAGGCCTCCCCACTCACTTGCCACAAAAAAAAAAAAAAAAAAAAACTCCCTGGAACCTCTTCTTCCCAAAAAAAAAAAAAAAAAAAAACAACCCCACGGTCCTCCCAGTCAAAAAAAAAAAAAAAAAAAAACCATCCCGGATGCTACCTCCTTAAAAAAAAAAAAAAAAAAAAACCCATGCCCTCCATCCTCTCCCAAAAAAAAAAAAAAAAAAAAACTTCCCTGATTTCCTGGCTGCTAAAAAAAAAAAAAAAAAAAAATCTCTGCCTCTATTCTACCTTCAAAAAAAAAAAAAAAAAAAAAGGAAGACCTCCCTGACTTCCTCAAAAAAAAAAAAAAAAAAAAAGTTCTATCTCTATTCCCAGTCATCCTGTAGCTTTCCTGACTTCGGAAGTTGCAGGCAGTCGGTATAAAAAAAAAAAAAAAAAAAAAGAAGGAGATAGTGTCCCAAGAGCTGGGCCCCACAGCGGTCTTCTAGATACAATTGGAGGCCAAGGAAAAAAAAAAAAAAAAAAAAACCAAGGCAGCCCCCAGCTGGTGAAAAAAAAAAAAAAAAAAAAAGGAAGTGGACTGAAGGGGCAGAAAAAAAAAAAAAAAAAAAAAAGGGGAATCTGCTGGGTCAGCAAAAAAAAAAAAAAAAAAAAAAAGAAAGGGAAGTGGATGATGGGCAAAAAAAAAAAAAAAAAAAAACCCTTTCCTGCACCCACCCCCGAAAAAAAAAAAAAAAAAAAAATATTCACATGTCTACTCTGCAGAAAAAAAAAAAAAAAAAAAAAGAGACCAAAGCCTCCTCCTCTTAAAAAAAAAAAAAAAAAAAAACTGAACCTCACACCTCTCAGAGCCAGGAGGGCATTTGTCTATATGAGCACAGTCCCATAGAAATAGACCGTTAGTGGCCGGGCACAGTGGATCACACCTGTAATCCCAGGGCTTTGGGAGGCCAAGGTGGGTGGATCACCTGAGGTCAGGAGTTCAAGACCAGCATGGCCAACATGGCAAAACCTCGTCTCTACTAAAAATACAAAAACTAGCCGGGCATGGTGGTGCATGACTGTAGTCTCAGCTACTCGGGAGGCTGAGGCAGGGGAATTACTTGAATCTGGGAGGCGGAAGTTGTGGTGAGCTGGGATTGTACCACTGCACTCCAGCCTGGGTGACAGAGCAAGACTCAGTCTCTAAACAAATAAATAAAATAAAAGAGAAAGAAATAGACTGTGAACCAGGAGGCAGGAGGATCACTTGAGCCTAGGAGTTAAAGACCAGCCTGGGCAAAAAAAAAAAAAAAAAAAAAAACAAAAATTAAAAACAAACAAAAAAAAAAAAAAAAAAAAAAAAGCGCGGTGGCTCAAGCCTGTAAAAAAAAAAAAAAAAAAAAACGAGACGGGCGGATCACGAGGTCAGGAGATCGAGACCATCCTGGCTAACACAGTGAAACCCCGTCTCTACTAAAAAAATATATAAAAAACTAGCCGGGCGAGGTGGCGGGCGTCTGTAGTCCCAGCTACTCGGGAGGCTGAGGCAGGAGAATGGCATAAACCCGGGAGGCGGAGCTTGCAGTGAGCTGAGATCCCGCCACAGCACTCCAGCCTGGGCGACAGAGCGAGACTCCGTCTAAAAAAAAAAAAAAAAAATAGAAATAGGTGGGTGTGCAGGTGTGCACCTGTAGTCCCAACTACTCAAGAGGCTCAGGCGGGAGAATTGTTTGAGCTCAGGAGAGACTGAGGCTGTAGTGAGCCAAGGGATTGCACCACTGCACTCCAGCCTGGGTGACAGAGTAAGACCCTGTCTCAAAAAAAAAAAAAAAAAAAAAGAAATAGAATGATATTCATATTTTCCCGCAGGCAAGCAACAGACAAAAAGAAACAAAAAGAATCAGGTAAAATTAATTTTGGTAATACGTTTTATTTACCACAATATATTTAAGAGAGTATCATTTTAATATGTGTTCAATAGAAACAGATTCTTGAGACTTCATATTCTTTTTTTTTTTTTTTTTGTGGTACTGTGTTTTCAAAATCTGGTGTATATTTTACACTCACAGCACTTCTTATCTCGGACCCGAGGACATTTCAAGTGGTCCGTAGTCTCTCGTGGCTGGTGGCTGCACTGTTGGACTGCTCAGGGCCGGACTTCCTTGACTAATGTATACAGCGTCTACAGAATTCGAACATCTAACTGTTGGAGCTGTACTTCTAACCCTCCGAGGTTCTGGTGTGACATTCTAGGATCCTGTGATTCAAATAGACTGTGACTCACATTGTAGGATCTGTTGGATTCAACAGTCTATGATTCCAATATTTTAAGAGTCTGTGATTCCGATATTCTAGTCTCCAGAGTCTTTGATTGCTTGGTTGGTTTTGAGATGAAGTCTTGCTCTGTCACTCAGGCTGGAGTGCAGTGGTGCGATCTTGGCTCACTGCAGCCTCCGCCTCCTGGGTTCAAGCAATTCTCCTGCCTCAGCCACCTGAGTAGCTAGGATATGGCGCATCCTGGCCACCAATGCCTGGCCTAATTTTTTTTTTTTTTTTTTGAGGACAGAGTTTTGGCTTTCTTGGCAACCCCAGCTGGCAGTGCCAATGGCACCATCTCGGCTCACTGCCAACCTCTATCTCTCTGGGTCAAGTGCATGCCCTCCTGCCCTCAGAAGCCCCTGAAGTAGCCTGGGATTTACAGGCGACTGCCCCAGGCCAGTTAATTTTGTATTTTTGTAGACCCCGGGGTTTCACCATGTCGCCAGGATGGTCCTCGATCCTCTTGACCTTGTTATCCGCCGCTCCTCAGCCTTCTAAAGTGCTGGATTACAGTGGTGGATTCACCATGCCCGGCTGTGGGAATTGAATGTTTTTATGACTTCTCATATACGTTAAGACCATTCCTCTCCTACTGCATCAAATATCACATATTATATTGTTTAAGTTATTTACATTGTTCCAAAAAGAAAAAGTCTATGGTCCTCCATTAGTCATCATGCCTGTCAAGCCCTGAATTCCATTAGTTTGAACGCTACGAAAATTGCCAAAATTTAGTCCTAATTTGGGTGGGGAGTGTGTGTAACAATTGATTTATTTGTTGCTTTTGAAAAATGTGGTGCCATGCACAGTGCCTCGTCTTAATCCCAACACTTTGAGAGCTGAGGTGGGAGAATCACGTGAACCCAAGACCATTCGAGACCAGCCTGAGCAACATAGTGGAGACCTGTCCTCTACAAAAAAAAAAAAAAAAAAAAAAAATCAGCCAGGGTGTGGTGGACATGTACCTGTAGTCCCAGGTACTGGGAGGCTGAGGCAGGGGGAGGATAACTTGAGCTGGGAGGCGCAGGCTGCAGTGAGCTGAGACACACCACTTGCATTCCAGCCTGGGTGACAAGTGGATCCGAGGCGGGCAGATCCCCTAGGTCAAGAGATCGAGATCATCCTGCCAACCATGGGTGAAACCCGTGTTCTACTAAAAAATACAAAATTAGCTGGGCATAGTGGTGGCGTGCCTGTAGTCCCAGCTACTCGGGAGGCTGAGGCAGGAACCCAGGAGGTTCAACTTGAACCCAGGAGGCAGAGGCTGCAGTGAGCCAAGATGGAGCCACCTGCACTCCAGCCTGGTGACAAAGAGAGACTTTTTTCGGTGTCTCAAAAAAAAAAAAAAGAAAATGAGTAAAACAAAAATTGTGGTAAAATGCACATAACATAAAATTTACCATTAGTGGCATTTCATGCATTTGCAGTGTTGTACATCCATCACCGCTATCTTGTTCCAGAACATTCTCATCACCCCAAAAGGAAACCCTGTACCCATTAAGCAGTCACTCCCCATTCTTTACCCCTTCAACCCCTGGCGACCACTCATGTACATTCCAACTCTAGAGATTTGCTGAAATTTGACCTTTTGGCCTGACATGGTAGCTCATGCCTGTAATCTCAGCACTTTTGGAGGCCAAAGTGGGAGGACTGTTTGAGGCCAGGAGTTCGAGACCAGCTTGGGCAATATAGCGAGACCCCTGTCTGTTTTGAAAAAAAAAAATGAAAGAAAGAAAAAAAGAGAAATTCAACCTTTTTTGACCTAGAAAAATGACAATTTCATATGGATTGACTTAAGAATCTTTTAGGATGCTTGGTTGTGGTGGCTAACACCTGTAATCCCGGCACTTTGGGAGGCTGAGGCAGGTGGATTACTTGAGGTCAGGAGTTCGAAACAACCGTGGCCAACATGGTGAAACCCCATTTCTACTAAAAATACAAAAATTAGCTGGGTGTGGTGGCGGGCGCCTGTAATCCCAGGTACTTGGGAGGCCAAGCCTGGAGAATTGCTTGAACCTGGGCAGAGGTTATAGTGAGCCGAGATCTCGCCAATGCACTTGAGCCTGGGCGACATAGCAAGACTCTGTCTCCAAAGGAAAAAAAAAAAAAAAAAGAAACAAAAAAAAATCCTTGTAGGATGTTCTCATTCAAAGTTTCTTCCAGGAGGAAATGGCTGGTGGGTTGAGGGGGTGGTGCTCGGCTTTTCACAGGATGGTTGACAGAGAATCCCCCTCCACTCCCCTCCACATACACGCTGGCCCCCCTCTTGCCTTCTGAGACCTGTAGAGACCCTGTTCTTGTCCCATAGCAACCCCCAGACCCCTAAGTAACAGCCCTCAGCTCCAGGGACACCAGAAAATCTTTGCCTTCCCAAATCTAAGACTTTTGTTTTGTTTCTGGTTTTATGAAATGGAGTCTCACTCTGTTGCCCAGGGTGGAGTGCAGTGGCGCAATCTTGGCTCACTGCAACCTCCACCTCCCAAGTTCAAGCAATTCTCCTGCCTCAGCCTCCTGAGTAGCTGGGATTACAGGTGCCTCCCACCAAGCCTGGAGCTTGAGATCCGCCACTGCACCTTCAGCCCTGGGTGACAGACCGATCGACTCCGTCTC